CAAGCCCGGTCCGGCATCCCCGGCCCGGCCGTCGGCTCCCCCCACAAGCCGCCCCTGCCCCGCAGCGCCCACTCCTCTCCCAAGGTGCGGGCCAGGGCCCGGGAGGAGCGGGGAGAGCAGGAGGGCCAGGCGAAGGCACGTGAGAGGAAGGAGGAGGAGCGGGGCCCAGCCCCCCCAGCCCTCCCTGAGCCCCCCAAGGTGCCGGGATGGGGAATGAAGGCAGGCCTGGAGGGGAGAGGCAGGGATGCTCTTCTGTGGTCCTCACCCCAGCGGGATGCCGGGGCGAGGACCAGCCCTGCCCCTCAATGCTCAGGGTGGTGGGAGGGGACGTGGGGCAGGGCTGTGCTGAGCCACCCAGGCTGTCCCCACTGTCCCTGCCCTGTCCCATCTGTGCCTGCTGTGCCACAGAGGGAAGAGGCCGAGGCAAGGGCGCGTGAAGAGGCTGAGCGGCAGCAGCTGGAGCGGGAGAAGCATTTCCAGCGTGAGGAGCAGGAGCGGCTGGAGAGGAAGAAGGTGAGGGCTGGGGACACCCCTGGGCCTGTGGCACAGTGCGGGAGGGGCACTGTAAAGGGTCCTGCCCAGCACCCAGGGCAGGTCCTGCAGGCGAGAGCTGTGCACGAGTCCCTCTCTTCCCCACAGCGCCTGGAGGAGATCATGAAGAGGACACGCAAATCAGATGCAGCAGATGCCAAGGTGGGTGCCTGTCCCCTGTGCCCCCCTGCCTGGGGACATGGGGGACTCTGCAGAACCCTCCCACACCCGCCCGGAGCCACCACTGCCCCTCACAGCTCTCCTCTCCCTGCAGAAGAAGGAGGACAAGAAGGTGGTGAATGGGAAAGCAGCTGAGCAGGAGGAGGTCCCAGGTATGAGGCTCCTTCCCACACCCTGCTGCACCTCCGGGGTGCCCAGGGTCTACAGAGCCGTGACCCTGTCCTGCTCCCCTGCCCTGGCCATGCTCCTGCCCGGGGCCATGGCTGAGCGGGGGCTCTGCTGACGTCCCCAGGCCGTGAGAAGCGTGTGGGGCCAATGCCAAAGGAGGAGGAACTCCCTGAGACAGAGACGCCGAGCACGGGAACTTTGGGGGGGCCTAAGGGCCTGGCAGGCGAGGGGCTGCAGCCAAGGTGAGCGCCGGG